TCTTCCGGGCACCATGTGTGTGATGGCGGGTTAATCGGTTCGTCTCGGGACTGGCCACGCCAGCCAGGTGACCATGTCTATGTGGAGATGCTGTTTTTGCTTTCCCTGCAGCTGTTTTTGCGAGGCCTCCACCTCATTTGCATTTTTCTGGTTAAAAACAGTAATTTTGCCCTTTTGAGTCATCTTTATTTTTGAGCCATCATTAATTTTCTCTCTCTCCTTGTTTATTAATAGACCTTTTCACTTTTGTGCTGATTCTGCCCGGGTATTTTTGTAAAGTCCTTTGTATTCCCCTTAGCACTCCGGCTGTTAACTCCTTCTGCTGGTTTGTTGTCCCTTTTCCCTGCTGTGGCTGTGAGGGGACACTATTGACTTACAAATCCTATTCCTGTCTGAAACATTCCCCTTCTCTTGTTCCAGGTATCTCCTAAGAGCATCTGTTCCAGGTATCTCCTAAGAGCATCGCAAATGAAAGGCATGATTGAAATCTATTTTTTCTCAGCGCCTTTGATGCCTTTACTGCCTCCTTGCTTAGCCAGTGTTTGCTCTGGCTGCTGGAGAGCATTTTCCTCCTGGCAGCAGGGGACAAGGACGTCTTGAAGCCCGTGGGGCTGCAGGCAGGCATCAGATGGGATGCAGTTCTCTGCTCCTTGAAGCCTTTGCTTTGCCTTGTGCTGGTGGCTCTGTGTTCTTGCCTTTGCTCTGCCTTTCTCCTCCAGGTATCCAGGTCCTTCCCTGGCTCTGTTGCCTGCTGCGTGAGCCGGGCGGGCTGGGCTGGAGCTCTGCTGAGAACAGGAGAGGTGCAGAATAGCCAAAACCTCTGACAGTCCTTACCGAGGCTGCCCAGCGACAATGTTGTGCAGTCAGCGAGTGTGCCACGGCACGTGCCTGGCATGGGATAAGCCCTGCGAGCGACGGGTTCCCCAGCAGAGCTGTTTAGAATCTCCTTGTACCTGCCTTTTTATTAGTCTTGTTATTATCCTGGGTTTTTTTCCCCTCCAAAGTGCCCAATCTGTGGCAGGCCATAAAGGGTGACATTGCAGGTGCACGAGCTGCATGTTGAGGCTGTGCGCAGTCCCCCAAGGCTCCCGGTCCCTCAAGGCTCCTGGTCCCCCGGTGCTGCCACCCCCGTTCACCGTCAAGGCTTTAAGGTTATCTGCTCTATCGACGGGAGTATGGATTGAGTGGAATTAGAAACCTCGAAGGCTAAAAATACAGCTCCCTGCCAGGAAATGCGGCAGCCTGCTGGGAGGGCGCTGGGTGGCACCAAAACTTTTCCGGGAACTGGCATGTCCATGTGAGCCCCGCAGCCCAGCATCCGCACCTGTCCCTGGGTTCCCCAAGCGGGACCGTGGCTGGCATCTCTGCCCGCAGCGGGAGAAGGCAGCGGGAGCCCTGGCTTTGCCGTTGGAGCTGTGCTGTAGGTGTCCTCACCTGCCGGGCAGGGATGCAGGTGATGGAGGAATTTGGTGATGTGCTGTGCAGTGTGAAGTAGGGTCTGCAGCGTGGTCAGGCCTGCCTTGCTGTTGTTCATGGGCTCCTTTGCTGGACAGGAGTGGGAGAGAAATCAGGGAGAAAACGCTGCCCGTCTGGGCTGCAGACAGTCACTAGAGGAGAAACGCAGGCTGGCACATCGCCCGAGCAGCTGCTCTGAGGCCTCACAAACTCATGCCGTGAGCACAAGGTCCCCATAAGCAGTGTGTTCCTGGGGACAGTGTGAAGGAGCCTGCACCTGCGGGGAGCTCTGGCCACCTCCTGGGTGATGCTCCAGCATCTCCCTGACCATGCCGGGCTGTGTTGCACGGGGCTGGTGGGCATTATGTGCCAGGCAGCTGGGCAGCGCTCCCACTGCCACTTTTACCATGGTACTGTGGCATTCCCGGTCTGGGGCTGCCTTTCCCTGCTTGGTGCTGCAATGTTGAGCTGTTTTGCTTAGACAGCTCCGAAAAGCAGGGCAGCACCTGGGGCAGCAAGGAGCCTTTTGGGGATGCTGCCCATCATCGCCTGGCTTTGCGCGGCGAGCTTGGTCCCGGAGTCTGAAAGCGGCAGAGTTGCCCTGCCCAGCATAGTGTGAATGAGACTCAAAGCCAGGGCCGTTGTTTTGCCTCCTGGAGCGTGAAATCGGTCGGTGCCGACGCGTGGCCGTGGTATCGATGAAGTGTGTAATAGGCTGGGGGCAGGAGCTGTGCTGCCCTGTGGGGAAAAAACAAAGTGCTGCAGCATCCCTGCCAGCGTGGGTCAGCCACCACTTTGCTGTGCTTCTCCCCAGGCTGTGGGAAGCGGCTCTTCCCCGGCAGCGTGCGGCAGGCAGAGGCAAAGCTGTGTGGGGAGAGGATGCTCCCAGCCCCAGCCGTCTGGCTAAATACTGCACCATCTGCTTTGGAGGGTGAGGCAAGGTGAACGGCAAACTTTCGAGGAGCCCATAAATCCTGCATGCGAAGGCTCTTCTTGGAGGTGACTCGGGATGTGTGTGGAGCAATGCTGCTCTGGGCTGCTCCCCGTGCTGGAAATTCTTGGGAATCAGAGCCTGGGGGGAACAGTGATCCCTCGCAAGGCATTTGGTGAGACTCTGGGCTTGGCTGGGAAAAGTCCTTTAGCAGAACGTGCTTCGTTGCAGTTGGAAGCTCTGCGTGGTTGGAAATGGCAGTGTCTGGGGAGCTCCCGGTGCCCCCTCCCCTCCAGTACCAGGGCTGCCACTTGGTGAGAAAATGTATAATGCCTCAGTGTTGAAAAATGACTAAAACAGACCTCGGAGGGTTTGTAGGATATGTTGCTTTCTCGCGGTCGATAAAGATAAAGGGGATCATTCTGCCAGCAAAATTAGTGTATCAAAGAGGGAGAAAAAAAATGATGAGAGCTGTGGAGACAGAAAAATGGTTGGGGCAGCCCCGGGATGGTGCCCAGCATCACCGCGACGCTCGTGCCTGCACCTTGTGCCACGGAGGTGGGCAGCTGCCAGCAAGCGCCCACCTCTGTGGCACAAGATGCAGGCACGGGCGCCGCGGTGATGCTGGGGAACACTGCCCTGCCTGGGCTTGCCGGCAGTTTCCAGAGAGCCATGAGAGACCCATCCATCACGGCGAGGCAGCCGTCCATCCGTGCGTCTGTCCATCAGGAGGTGGGGATGATGCCGTGCGGCATGGGCAGCCCCGGCCACTTTCCAGCCAGTGGTTGGCCTCCCCTCGCCTTCCCGGCACCGCTGCTGGCTGTCGGTGAGGGGCCGTGGGGGAGTGTTCGCGCCTCGGTCGGGGGCTGCGTGGAGGGGAGGCTAATGTACCGGAGGTGCCTCGGAAATGAGAGCCTTGGATGGATTCCTGGCCCTATTGATCCGCCGGCAGTTTATGCATCCTGACATTCATAATCTTGGTCGGCGCTGATGGTCCAGATTAATGGACCCGGGGGCTGTCCATCCGTCACTTCACATTAATTACTGAAGAGGTGTTTTTCCAGTGATTTACCTGACAGCGGCCCGTGATGAATCCCCCTAAACAGAGTGGGCAGTGATTAATCACGGGGCCCTGGCCCAGCCCCACTCTGCCTTCCCCTCAACCGCAGCGCAGCCCCCCACACCATCCGTCTCCATAAACCCTGCCTGATGCATATTTATAGGGGCAGGGGGGCCTGGCAGCTCGCAGTGTGCCTGCTGCTGCCAAAGATGATGAAAAATAAATCTCTGCTGGGACGGGGCAGCAGGTGAACAGGGCTGCGGCATGCTGGGGTGGCAGCCGTGGTCCTGTGCCAGGGTGCCCCTGGTCTGGGGTTTGTTTTCTGGTGCTCCGTGGCTGCCGCGGGCTTCTCTGTGGTTTTTGGTGCATGAATGGTGCAAAGGCTCTCTGTCCTGCTTCATCTGTGGCCATTTGGGGCTGGGGGGTCCCAGGCAGCAGCCACCGGAGTGGGGCAGGTGCCCCGGTGATGCTGGCAGGGTTTTCCTGCTTCCCTCAAGCCCGGTACACCCTACCAAAGGCTGTAGGGCTGCGGGCTGCTCTGGGTGCGAAACCCCATCTGCAGAGCCACTACCATGGGGACAGTGTCAGGGCTCCGCTGTCCATCACTGTGTGCCTGCTGCTGTGGGAGTGAGGCTGGGTGCCAGGCTGGGACCCTCACCCAACGACCTGGGTAGGGGCTGCCCACCCCATGCCTGGCTCTGGGGCCGTTGGGATGCGGGCAGGGCAGTGACACTGTCTCTCTTTGGCAGGCAGTGGTGGCACCATGCAGCGGGAGGCGGAGGGTGGCCGGCCGCGCCGCAGGAAGCCTGACATGGCCCTCTACGTGCCCAAACCGCGGCGGGAGAGAGCAGCACAAGGGACGGGTGACGCGCTGGCCAGGCACTGCCAGGAGCCCGAGAACCACTGCCTGGTGCAGGACACTTGCCGGGGCAGCAGCGAGGGGCAGAGGCGAAGCCCCCGTGCCAGGACACAGGTGGGCAGAGTGGTGAGGAGGGAGAGCGAGGTGGATGCTGGCCCGAAGGAGCCACGGGCAGCCTCTGCTGGGCACTGCTGGAGGCTGGGAGGCAGCTGCCCTGCCACACCAGGGGGCCTGGGGGCATCACCCACTGTGCAGGAGCCATGCCCAGATCAAGCTGTTGCCCAGCCCTGGGATGGGCAGGACAAAGCATCCCGTGATGAAGGACTTGGGGAGCTCAGCCGTGGCTGCCAGTTGATGAGGAGCGAGCACGGGCAGCCTCTGCTGGGCACTGCTGGAGGCTGGGAGGCAGCTGCCCTGCCACACCAGGGGGCCTGGGGGCATCACCCACTGTGCAGGAGCCATGCCCAGATCAAGCTGTTGCCCAGCCCTGGGATGGGCAGGACAAAGCATCCCGTGATGAAGGACTTGGGGAGCTCAGCCGTGGCTGCCAGTTGATGAGGACCGAGCCTGACCCTCCATCCCCACCGAGTGCCCAGCCTGGGGCCACGGAGGCTGCCTCGGAGCCCAGGAGTGACCCTGCTCGCCCAACACCCCCTGCTAGCCCAATGCTGGCATGTCGGACAGGGCCAAGCGGCATGTTGGAGCATTTGGGGGACAGCACCCTGGATCCATCTGAGGACCGATCCCAGCACCCCGGAGAGGGTGTCAGGCAGCTGGCAGGGCCGGGTAACCTGAGCAGTGTGCCTGGGCTGATGTGGGACGTTGCAGATCCAAAAGCCCAGGAGGAAGAGAGGGAGTGTGGGGGCACTCTCCCGGCAGGGCAGCGCAAGAGCTGTGCCGCTGGGGTGCCGGAGGAGGATGAGAGGTGGGGAGGCAGGGCTGATCCCAGCACCCCGGAGAGGGTGTCAGGCAGCTGGCAGGGCCGGGTAACCTGAGCAGTGTGCCTGGGCTGATGTGGGACGTTGCAGATCCAAAAGCCCAGGAGGAAGAGAGGGAGTGTGGGGGCACTCTCCCGGCAGGGCAGCGCAAGAGCTGTGCCGCTGGGGTGCCGGAGGAGGATGAGAGGTGGGGAGGCAGGGCTGAGCTCACCAGGGAGGGCACCTTGGATGCTCCAGGAGGAGCCATATGTGAACCTGGGTGCTCAAGGGGTGGTGCGGGCAATGCACCAGTTCTCCCAGAGGAAAGCACTCCAGGGCAGGGCATTGTCAGCCTATCCCAGCTCCCACCTGATACAGAGGAGAACACTGCTGGTGTTGGGCATCCCAGTGGGGAGGGCGACCCTGTGCCCGCTGTAGAGGGGGTGGGCAGCACCTCTGCCTGCACAGATGGCAGTGCCAGGGCTGAGAGTGGCCCGCTGGATGCTGACGAGGACCCGGTGAGCGGTGTGTGGGAAGGGGCCCCCCCGGAAAGCCACGAGCCCCCACTGTCCCTGGAGCTGCTGTGCCGCGGCGTAGAGGGGCTCTCACCCACAGCCTGGGCCAAGGAGCCAATGGGGGCAGACGAGGACGTGGGCTCACTGCAGCAGCACCGGTGCAGCCAAGAGGCCAAGGAAGAGGAGGGAGGTCTCTGCAGCAGCTCCCCGAAGGCAGAGCAGGCCAGTGCCAGGACCCCGAGCCAGGCCAGCCCGGGTGCTGAGGAGAGCTGGGACGCGCTGTTCAACGACGATGGGGACTGCCTGGACCCGCGCCTGCTGGAGGAGGTACGTCCTGTGAGCTGGCACCCACAGGGAATTGCAGGGATGGTGGCTGCTGCCTATTGGGGCGTGGGGACAGGGGTCCATGCGGGTCATCTGCCCCTGTGTCCTCCAGTGTGGGTGCATGGGAAGGCAGGCTGCACCCAGGGCACACGGCCACCCTGGCTGCGCTGCCTGCTGTTGCTGCTGGCCGTCCCCAAGCAGGGGTTTGAAACATCTGGGACCTCCACCTTCCCCCCTGGCTGGTTCCCATCCCAGCCATCCCATGGTACTGGTGAAGGTTAGGGGATGTCTTCCCTCTATAGTACATAAAGCACACCCGGTAAAACCTGCTTGAGTGCTGTAAACTGCAACTGCACGCTCATGAAACTGGGGCTGTGATACAGAAATGGGCTGAGACGTATGGGCTCCAATTGAAATAGCAACAGGAAGTTTCCTCGAATCCACAGTTTCTTAATCAGCTGTGGCTCATTACCATCCCCTGCTGCACGCATGTGGCTGAATTTACTACAATTAGCTGCTTAGTGCTGGGACCCACGCTGTTTTCCTGCCGTTTGTGAAGAAAGCTCAGCTTCTGCAACGAGGCTGGGTATCCCTTATTGCATTTTAAATCAGTAGCATCAAAACGCTAATTTTCCAAGTGACATTAATGTGCCCAAAGTAACAAACAGCACTAATATTGTTACAGCCAGCATCCATCCACCCCGGGCTGGAAGCAGGGTGTGAAGTGGCGGATGGTGCCTGATAACAGCTTCTGGGAAGGGATGAGGCTATCTCAAGAGCATCCTTACTGAGGGGCACTGGTACCCACCTTGTCTGTGAGGCCACGCTCAGGCTGGTGTGCCCTCGCCAAGCCTGGCATGGGGCTGGGACAGGGTGTGAGACACACACGGCTTGACTCTGGGGCTGCTCAGAGGGCGATGTGGAAGAGATTTGGGTCCCTTCATCCCTGCCTGGCTGTGCTCCCCTCAGCTGTGGTCCCCCACCGTCCAGCTGGGAGGTTGCGGTGAGCGCCGGTGCAAGGGGGACGTCACTGCTGCTCTGATGGCAGCTGGCACTGGCTTTGCGTGGGCTGGCACAAGGGGCATGGCTTCGTCCTTAGGCACAGTGGAGCGGCTGCCTGGCCGCGCTGGGGAGGCAGGTCAGGCAGAGCTGTGTTATGGTGCAGCCGTGGGATGCTGCAGGTGTGCCGTGCAGTGTTGGTGCTAACTGTGAACAGCTCTGGAGCATCCCCATGCACAAGCTCTGAGCAAAGTTTGAGCCTTCCAGGGAGCTTCCAAAAATGGGTGAATGAGAATCTGAAAAAGGGATTTATCAATTAAAAGTTGCCATCTTCACCCCCTTGCAGAATCCCATACTGAGCTTGATGCTTCCTGAGCTCTCCAAGCTCTTGGCAGGTGGACATGGCTGCTCGGGAAGGGTGCAGGCTCTTGGGGAGATGGAGCTGTTGTTAATTAACAAAAAGGACAAGAAAATTAGTAGCATTCTTCCTTGTAACCGAATCCTTGTGTGCTGCGGAGAGCTGGCGGAGAGCAAAATTTATGACGTTGCGTGTGGAGGAGAGATTTCTGATAGGGGACGGCTCTTTAATCTAGCAGGAAAAACCACCATAGCAAGACGCATTGGCTGGAAGCTGAAACCAGACAAATTCAGAGTAGAAATCAGTTTGAACGCAGAGCGTAATTAAGCACTGCGACCATTTCCTTGCAGGCTCAGGGGACTCTCCATCAGCCGGCATGGTGTGCCGGGGCCGTGGCCTGTGTGTGCTGGCACACGCCTTCCCTCCAGCGCTGGAGGTGCGCTCTCGGCAAGAGAGCGCGGGTGTAAGTCAGCAGCCACGGACCCCTCTAATGTGCTTCGGCGAGGGCGTGTCTTTACAGAGCAGTGAGGTGTGATGGACAGGCTTCAGTCCCTGCCTCTGCCATCCGTCTGTCCATCCGTCAGGAGACCCTTCCCAGTGCTCGGTGCCTGCCAGGGCTGGGGGCCATACCCTGGCTCCCGCTCCCTGCCCTGCCTCGCAGCTGGGGGGCTGCAGGCACCCTGTGTGCCCAGGCTGGCAGCGCTGGGGGACCTGTTGAGCTGTGCCTGCCGTGCAGCTGAGCCCGGCTGCCAGACGGCTCCCGTCCTTGCTGCCCTGCCACACTCGGTGATTTGTGAAGGTCAAGGACTGCTCTGGCACTCTTTTCTCCTGCTCTCTAATCATCTTCCCAGCACCTGGCACTACCCGAGTGCTCTGCTCCCTCAAGCGGCACCACAGGGCTTCATCCTGCCTGGGGACGGCTCCTTTGCCTCCCCCGAGTGGGCAGGGGGTGCTGGATGAGTGTGCTGCCCCGCACGGGGTGTGCTCCGTTAATGGGTGATGGTGGTGGGGCAGGCGGCTCTGCTAGCAGTGCTAGCCTGTCCTGTGAGCTCCATAACTCAGCTCTACCCTCCACCAGCATCCAGCCACCCTGGCAGCACCCCCTCACCTGCCATGAATCCATCTTCCCCATAAAATTGTCGGAACGAGCACTTTTTATTGACTGAGCTGGCTGGGATTTATGGTCTCTAACCTTCCAGCCGTGGTGTGCTCTGCTACGATCGCTTGGGGGATCGGGCTGGGAACCTGGCTGAGTTATGTACCCGCTCCCCAGCACCACGCTGGCCCCACGCTTCCAGCTCCACAGCTTCAGGCTGTGCCTGGCCCAGTGTGTCAGCCGGAGCAGGGCTGTGAATCCCCTTGGCCGCCGGCACAGCATGGTTTGGAAAGCAGGGGTGCAGTAAACCATGCAGGGTAGCCCACTGGGCAAAGTGGTGCAGGTGACCCACTAGCACCGATGCCGCAGGGTGGAGGGGAGCAGGGGGCGGCTGCACCCCCCGTGTTGTGGCAGTGGGAGACTGCTGCCCATGTTTTAAAATGAAGGTTGAAAAATGGGAGAGGTAGAACAGTGCTACGGCCGTCATCTTTTAGGGCTGGAGAAAGTGCCCCGCTGTGAGATACTAAATGTGCACAACCCGTTTAGCTTATCAAGAAGAAGATTGAGAAGGGACTTGATTAGTGTGAGTAAGTGCCATCACGGAGAAGGGGACCAGGAACTGAGGGCTCTTTAATCCAGCGGAGAGGCAGAACAAGAACCGCCGGCTGGAAAGTGAAGCCAGACAAATTCAAATGGGAAATAAGGCATAGATTTTTAGCTGCGCAGGTGATTAACCACCAGAACTTGCTCCTTGGGGGAGTGCTGACTTTTCTGTCTCGGCGTCTGGGGTGCCAACAGGCTGCTCTGGTGCGTGTGCTGCAGCCAGGGCATGCTGAGCCTGGTGCTCCTGCATGGCAGGCAGTTGTCAGACTTTCCTCCTGACCTTGCTGTCTTGCTCCTTGTTGTTCCCCAAATGTATTTTGGGTCAGCATGTCACAGTGGAAGGAGGGGTGTGCTTGGGGGTGCATGCGCTGTCTCCCCAGTACCATTCCTACCCAGTCTCCGGTAGGACCACAGAGCATGGCAAGTGAAGGGTGCTGGTAACGGGAAAAGTAAGTGCATGGCCTGATAGCCCCGGCTGATAACTCCTAATATCTCAATGCCATGAATCCATTTGGAGTGCTGGGGTGGGGCACAGGGGCCAGACTGCTTCCCGGGGAGCGCTTGCCATGGATTGGGAGCTGGTGTGGGGTGGGTGGGCATGGGTTGCTCAGTGCTGTGCCTCTCCCACTCCTGCAGCTCTCAGGGGGTGAGAAGCACCAGGAGAGCCAGCAGTCACCCCGCTTCAACTACTACGGGGCTGAGCCCGCCGCACCAGACCTCAGCGATGCTGAGCTGCCCCACGTTATTGAGATCTATGATTTCCCCTCGGATTTCCGCACTGAGGACCTGCTGCGTGTCTTCTGCAGCTATCAGTGAGTCTGCCAGCAACGCCCTGTCCCCAGTGCTGGGGTCCCCTGCCTGGGCTCTGCTCCAGACCCCTGCCCATCCAGTGCTAATGCCTTGCTGAGCTTCCCTCTCTTCGGCAGGAAAAAAGGCTTTGATATTAAGTGGGTGGATGATACACACGCCCTGGGCATCTTCTCCAGCCCCATAACAGGTACTGCTCCCAGTTTGGCTGGGGATGGGCAGAGGGGAGGCATCCCTACCTCTCCCACCGCCGGATCCTGGGCCTGGGGCTGGCCCCACATGCGGACACCACTGCTCTCTCCCTGCAGCACGCGATGCCCTCAGCACCAAGCACCTGATGGTGAAGACACGCCCGCTCTCACAGGGCACCCGTGCCTCTAAAGCCAAAGCCAGGGCATATGCTGGTGAGTGATGCTGCCCCATGCTGGCTTGTGCCATGGTACTTGTGCTGCAGCATCTTCATCCCAATAACTGGGGAGGGACAGGGCAGCCAGCAGGGCT